AATGCAAGATCATCACATTATTCATATGTTCCCTTTCCATGCTCAAACTGGCTTACAACAATACAAACCAAAATCAACTGTCACAAGTACAATATCATAATAACAGCAATAATAAAATAAAATGCAGCAGCAGAAAAGGTACATTTCAGTAGCATATAACGTCTAGCATCAGCAAAAATAGTGTTAGAAGCATTTTAAACAAATAACTTGGATAACGTTTTGATTCATGAGAATCTCAGCTTTCCTTAATGCAAAAAAGGCAGAACATTAGTTTCTGACAGTGTGTTTCCTTAGAACTGCATGGGTTGCGTTTCTGATCCACAGTCATATGGCTTTGGCAAAAGACTAGTGTGGTGAAATCTCTGAAAGATGCTCCCCTGTTCTGAAACACACCTGAATAGTCCTTGTGACCAGCACACAACACATGCACACCACTCAGTGCCTCATCACTGGATGACTCGCACATAAACCGTCTCGACAGAAAGGATTGTGTAGGAGGTGAGGTGTAATCTGTCTGGGCTGCTTGATTGTGGTAGCTGTTTCATACAAGAATGTCATCCATTGATAAAAGTCATTAGCTGATGTGCTAATGGATGATTTCAACATACCCATATCTTTCCCCCTGACATCACATAACTTCTTGCAACAACAATAAAATATTGCACACCAAAAAAAATGGGGAAAGATGGGAAATGAAGCATATAAATGTTGAGCACACCTCTTGGAACAGACCATAGCTCAGTATGAAATGATGAATATGAAAATGATGCATCACTACGTTGGCTACCTCTGAGTAGACTGAAAAACAGCACAAGGTCAAGTGGTGAGCTTCATGGCTCAGTGTGAATTTAAACTTACAATGTCCGTTGCTCTAGTCCGGGTTCAACGCTTGTCTCCCCTATAAACCACTGCCTTTCCAGTTCCATTTTCACAATTTATAAGGTAAGCGGTGGAGCCTCAAACTCATTTATTTTAAAAAATTAAAAGAAAAATGAACACTAGCTGATTATCTACTTCTTCACTTTTACAGGCTACATTGCCACAAAAAACAGTATTCAGATACACATGCATGGTAGAGGTGAAAGGGGAAATTTCACAGTACTTTGATGTCATCTGTCTTTTCTTGCCAAGACAAATGTGTTTCTTGCAAAGGATTGGCATTTTCTTTGGACACATAGTTCTTGCATGGAGCCGGTCCTGTTTTGTGGTTATGTGTGTGGCACTTCAAAACCTGCAAGCAATCTCTTAGGAGCAGATCTGTAAATCTAGACTGCTGCATTTGAGTAGCTTAGCTGTATTTGCATTGGCCGATGTTCTTAAGGGTCACCTGTACTGAAGTTTCAACTTCAGTTGTAGAAATAGTTCTCCTTTGCGGTACCAACTTCACACGCCAATGCTTCAACATACAGTCCTACAGGTTAACCTTCCCTAACTGTTTCTTGCAGGCCTTTTAATTTGTTCATCTTTTTGGCTTCTTTGTTTTTGTTGTGCCACATTGGCCTAGTGCAAACACAATGGTCCCAGTCTTAGATTGTGAAAGGTGCAGGTCTGTGTGCTGTTCTTTTGTGTCACTGGAACAAATTGTCTTCTCCCCTTTAGTCACAGAAGAGAGACCTAACCATGTTCAAATCTTGTTTAGCTCGAATTTTAGATTATGGTGGCCAACCATTCAGGCATGGGGAGAGAATTCACTTCAAGAAAGGAGTGCAGTCTTGCAGCTCACATTGAGTTGTACCCAAAAGTGCCCTAACAATGTAAGCCTCTCTCCCTTCCTCCAAACCTGATCTCAGATGCTGAAATAGGTAGGTGATAATCAGGTACCCTGGATTGTGCAAGCAAAACCATTTGCTACTATGAGAATTCAGCATTGGCTACAACCCTCCACCTCTAAACTATTGAGCACAGTGAAGGAATTCGTCCCATTCCCATCTGTACTTGCCCTGTATAATAGTATAAATGCATTGCTGCATAATCATAAATAAACTGCTTGCTTTGTACTTTCAAATCCACTTTTTCTGGTGAAAGAAGTTCTCAAACTTCTCTTTCCAGAGCAAAATTTGTCCAGAGCAAAGTTGTTCAATGCTCCTTGTATTCAGTGTGGGATGCAGTGGCTGTCAAACTGCTCCTTCAAAGTGATATTGCACTGAATGGTTGTTGTTGTTCTAAACAGTGCAGCTGCTTAGCAATAAAAACAACAGCACAACACTTGGTATATAGAAAGGATACTCCATGAAGCCCAAAGTAAGAAAGGGAGGCATTCCTAATATTCTCAAAATTCCAAATGACTAATTGTGTAACTAGTTGGGGATAGTTATAAATAGCCCAATGATTATCTCAGATCCTGTGGGCCTGATTTACATTTTATCATTCAGAGTGAGTGGCTGATTTGTAACTAGTTGGGGGCAGTTATAAATAATGCTATATAAGCATCATAAACCCTTTATGCTCTCAGGTTCTGTGGGTTTGATTTGCATTTTCTTTATGGCAGCATAAAGAGCGCTAACTGGGCAGGAATTTAATCTGCAATTATTAATTAAGCTATCTGCAACTGAATTTAATGGAATTCTTTGAGGCCTCCTGTAATTATCCTTAGCATGTTTTCATATCAAATCCTCATTCAGAGATGGCAACCCACAGAACTATTTTTAATTATTATTATTTTTGAAATCACAGGTTTTCACCTGCACATATTGAACATGCCTAGAGTGTCATTCAAATGATCTTGGCCCCATCCCCATAAACAAGTGGAGAGGAGGAGAGGCAGAGCTTGTGCACCAGATGGGTGAAGAGGAGCTCCTCTTTGCTTATTGGACCAGACTGGGGGAGATCTATAATCCAACACTGGCAACAAACCAGCAATTAAATGATAATGAGGCAGAACACTTCATTGTATGGAATACAATATAATGAATAAATTGCTATACATCAAATAGAGCTTGAATCATGGGCTTGGAAGTGATCTTGGAGATCATCTAGCCTATGAGTAGGAAACCTCAGGTCCTGGGTGAGGCACAAATATGGCCCTTCAGGGATTTCTTTGTGGCCCTCGGGGCTCTCCTTGGCCAAGCCCTCTCCCCAGCCACACACCTCACCAGCTCTGCACTAAAGTGTTCTCTCCTGCTGTGGGGGTGCCTCTTCGAACTGTCGGGGTGCCTCTTGCTTGTTTTGATGGGCTATGGAAATATGTGTTTGCTTGCATATAGAAACCTCTGTGTTTTGTTTGGGTTCAATGTAGCCTACTGTACAAAGACAAGAGTCAAAATTATTGTTCTGGCCTCTTTTGCCCTTGGCCCCAACCACCCCTGACATGAGGCTCCTGGAAATGAAGAAATGAGGCCCTTGGGCTAAAAAATTAAAATGTTTCCCCATTCTTGAGCTTGTCTAACCTCTGCTCAGTGCAGAATGCAGCCATAGCATTCCTAACAAATGGCTAGGATGGTCAAATGAAAAGAGGGATATGGGGTTCCTACACATTTAATTATTGTGCAGTAGTGATACTAAAGATGTAGGAGCCCATTCTTCTTTCACCTGGACACCATACAAAGGATGTCCAGCAAAGGAGAGAGCCACTACCTGCAAAGGCAGTTCTGTTGCACCATCAAACAGCTCTTATGATACACAGATAAATATCAACAGTTCAAGGATTGGGAGGATGTAGGCATTTACACAATCCGTTACCTGCCACCCAGAGGGAAAGCAATTCCAAAGAGGAACTGCAAGGTCAGTTAAAAGTCCTCCCTGGTTTCAGGTAGCTCAGGCTCATTCATTTGCACTTCATTTGGAGCACAGGGAAGAGGGCCTACACATACTTGCCTTGTTTGAATCCTTATGCAGCAGGCCAGCATATGAACCTGAAAAGTGCTGCTTCCCTAATATACAGCAAAATTGTACGGGAATCAGATTTAGGCCACCCAATTGGGCATAGACTCCACCCTGCACCACAGAGAACTAGTAGGCTTCCTACTGACCGCAGCATAGTTAGCGATAGCTCAGCAATACCCCATAACATATGGGAAAATAATATCTGGGATGCAGCAACATCTGAGCACCTCACCAGACACAGGAGGGCAATTCATGGCATTACAAATGGGACACCTTCCGAGAAAGGTGGACCCCTTTCTTTAACTATGTTAATTACCAAAATCAAGACCTTGCTATACCAACCGCTCAGTATTCTCAGCAGAGAGGTTATGTTAAGTAATATGTTTGAATGTTGAATGTGTAAGTGTATGTCTAAAGACCATGGATAAAACAAATACCATTAGATGTATTGCTGGATAAATGTTTAATGGTTCTTGTTTTTGTGTTTGTATTTGTTTAAAAACCCTGTGGACTTTGGGTGTAGGGTGGTATACAAATTTAATTGATTGATTGATTGATTGATAATAAAGCAGCATAGAACAGCAATGCAAGATGTCTAATTAAAGCATCTAGCTAAAATCTGCTTCCCTGAGATTTCTACCAATTGATTCTATTCCTGGTTGCTACCTAAGAAGTACTGGTAAGAGCTACATTACAGGCAAATATCCAACACGTGCTGATTTTGCCATCACTTCATCCCTATCCTGGAAACATCTACCTAGTCTAAGTTTCCTTTTTGCTGCATAAACGACAGAGCCCCCATCAGTCTCCATTTGGCAAACATAGCTAGAAGAATCTGCACGTACACCATAAATTTAGAGCACGTACACACACCCCTCCCTGGAATTCTGGAAACTGTAATTTACCCCTCACAGAACTGCTGTTTCCAGCACCCTTAGGAAATTCCAGTTCCCATGATTATTTATGGGAAGTCATATGCTTTAAAAGCATGGTGTGTATGCAACCGTGGTGAGGTAGGATTCATTGCGTATAAGCTTTCATTGACAAATTGTCATAAAGGATGTTTGTAGCTATGATGGTCTTTATAGTTCATAGACAAAACGTGGCAGTGGTCAAATGAATGGTGGAAGTCTGCTTTCAGATTATTTCCTAACATAACTGTTTTCTTCAATTTGCAGAATTGACGACTGCTTCTGTGCTTCTCGGAAGCTCGATGCAGTAGCCACAGAAGCCAAATTCAAGCAGGACCTTGGGTTCCGAATGTTGACCTGTGGCCGTACAGATCTGGTCAAACAGGCCATATCTTTGTTGGGGCCTGATGGAATTAACAGCATGAGTGATCAGGTATAAAGAAAGAAAGAAACTGATTTTTACTGATTTTTTTAAACAATGGGTTGACAATTTGAAATTACAAAATTGAGGATATATATATATATATATATATATATATATAGAGAGAGAGAGAGAGAGAGAGAGAGAGAGAGAGAGAGAGAGACTATTGAAGAAAATATGCATGGGATTCTTCTCAAAGAATAACCCATCAGAGTTCCACACACACTTTTCTCTTTCTTACAGTCTGGTTAAACCTTTTTATGAGATGCAATTTGGAATGTGGACTGTGGAATATGGACTGGGTGTGTACTCCCATGTGTGGGGTGAAATAACGTCTCTCTTCCAGACCTATTTTCTCACCCGTCCTCAAGTTTAGAATGTGGTTGTTTTTCCCCCTGTGACTCTTGTGCTGCACATAACTATTCTTTCCTAACTGCATCTGTGTCTAATGCCATTGTGAAAGTTAACACTAATCACAAGGGATATGTGTTGATCAGCTGCAGTGGGCATCACAGATTAATACAGATTGCAGCCAGGAAGTCTTTGTAGTGAAGGGTCAGTTAATCTAATTTTCCTCCAAACAGGGCAGCATTTCCCTAGAGCTAGCAACTTTCAACAGTGCTGTCTGGCATTTCATTTAAAATTAAGTCACTGTGTATCATGGACAATTGTACAAAAGCATCTACTCCTCCAACCGTTAGCAATATTGGCAGTCAGTATAAAGTGCCCGAGTCTAACGTGTAAAAAAGAAGCTCATTAAATTGCTAGAGGAACATTTTCACAAAAGAAGGGCCCAATATTCTGATTTTTGTACAAGAGAAGTGTAACACAATGGATTCATGACACTGCAGAAGACAATGGATTTTTAATGTTTATCTTGAGGAAGGCAAGGCAGTGTTCACAAAAACTGAGCAAAGGATTTTTGCAGGAAATTCTTAAAATTATACTTTTATTGAAAACATCCTACACCATAAGTGGCATGCCTTCTTATGACATCTACGAATCAAGCCTTAAATAAAACCATCCCATTGGAAGCTGATCAATGTGTTGACTTTAATGTTCCCACAGGGCATGACTCCACTGATGTACGCTTGTGTGAGGGGCGATGAGGCCATGGTTCAGATGCTACTGGATGCTGGAGCAGATCTAAATGCAGAGGTGAGACTGTTTTTGTGCTTACATGCGTTTAGCTCACATTTTCATGAACATGTCAAATTTATGGAGAGCTGCAGCTATCCGAAATCAAGGATGCGAACCTCTTTGGATCTTCCCAGAGCAACTTGGTATTGAAATAAAATCTATTTAAGAAGACTAAAAAAGAAAAGAAAAAAGGTTTTCTTTAGTGTCAAATCCAGATTAAATGTCATAGGGCTCCCATCCTGAACCATATTCAGGAGCTTCAGAGCTCTCATCCATCTACCACATTTTCTCCTCTGCAACGTATGATACATGGATTTGGTGGAGAGGAGAGAAGCAGCACCCTCTGGAGTCAGGGCTCACTGATATCAGCTGCAGTGGTCAGCTGTCAACACCATCAAAGACCTAGCTCTATCAAGGTGGTGGTAAATCTGTGTCTGTGCTGTACCACTTCCAATTGTTGTCAGGAATTGCGTAAAATGAGTGTTTTTCCTTTAAAACCAAAACCAAAACGAAAAGCCTCCACACAGCAGACTATGCATCAAAGAGAAGAGTAGCTAGGCTAGCATTCTACCTAGTGTGCTAGTTTCCTAAGTTCAGGAAAGCATTTTGTATAGAGGAATATTTGGCTATCTGAGCCCCCACCTGCATTCTGCAGTGGTACAGTCCAGACACAACTTAGCCACTTCAGGAGAAACAGGCCAACAAATGACTTGTTGGTTCAAATCAGAGAGCAGTGTGGAGAAGCAAAAATTACAAGTGACAGAATTTAATCCATATGAGATCTTTGCCTTTGTAGAGGCAGCTGTTTACATATGGTCTTGCCTCTGCTTGGGAACATAAAATACTGTGTGGTTGGGATGATGTTGTTAGTTATTCTTATGCTGGCAACATGCATCAACTGTGTCAACCCACAATTTAGGGCTTGCCCCATACTTTCTAGGCACAGGTCTGAGCAACTTGATTTTGAAAAACCAGTATATGAATTCTGTAAAATGTGGCTGGAATGCATTATGGTAACTAAGTTTTATTTGGACAGTCTTACAGCACAATCCTATGCATGTTTTTCTGGAAGGAAATCTAACTGTATTCATTGGGCCTAACTTCCTGGTAAGTGTGTATAGGATTGCAGCTATGCAGTGCTCTACTATGCATACCCACTTAGAAGTAAGTCCCATTAAGTTAAATTGGTCTATCTCCCATGTAACTTTGTGTGCACACATGGTTGAGATTAAGGCCAACTGAACTCAATGTGACACACTTTGAGTAGACCTGTACAGGATTGTGCTGCACAGCAACAGACTTACTGTACTGTTAATGAAGGAAAGCTTATTTATTATATTGAATAAATCTGGGATTTTTTTCATTGTGATCATTGTCTGACAGACTCAGTATGCAAGTTTCATTGAATATATTGTGATTATTGTGATAAGAGTGTCTGTATAATATTCTTGGTTAAAGACCAACTTCTTTTCCTGTCTACACCAAAAATTTGTAGGTTATCCATCAAACAGACTCTGCCTGTCTGTGATCTAAACTATCAATATAGAAAAATAGTGTGTTTTATATAGCTGTCAAGAATAATAATTTCAGTATATGTTGTCTGAACATACTGGTATATATTTGGTTCATTATTTGTATTCCATTTGAATCATGGCAGCTATCAAGTTAATTTGTCTAAATTAGCATACAAGTTTATAATATAAGAAAAATGTGCTAAACAAACCAAGTCATTGTTTCCACACAGATTGATATAATTATTGTACAGTGACTGAAAAATTGAGATTTAAGGCTGCAGTCTTTATACACCCTTTCTAGGGAGATTGCCCTGTTGAAAGCAGTGGGACATAATTCTGAGTAGGCATGCAAAAGGATTGCATTGCAAATGAGCCCTTTTACCATCCTTACTGAAGCAGGTGCATATGAGAGAGAATCTGCATTTTGCAAAGTTCCAAAATACGTTAAGTCAGTTTGGTTTGTTAGCAAGTGAAATCCACTATTGTCTGGTTACTGTTTGCTGAAATGTGTGGTTGGTTGTTAACTTCAGTTCTCAGGATGTTCTCACCTATGATGCTAAGAGGTCTTCAAGCCTGCAGTGCTTCACTTGAGTGTGTCGCCAGAGTGGAATAGACAGGAGAGAGCCATTTACACATAGAATGTATTTTCTTAACACAGTTGGCTTTGCCATTCATAACAGAGGTGCAGGAAATGCACAAAGCAATTTAAAAAGCATCATTTCTGAAACTTGCTTTGGAGTCGATTTGCACAATAAAAAAAATGCTTGGCTGTGGGTGAAACAGTTGTCACACGTTAGCAATCACAGACCCTTTTTAGTTATGCACTAATAGAGTGCAATCCGCTTACCATATAGAAACAGCATTAATTGCATGTAAGCAATTAACACGAACATGCTTTCAAATTAAAAACAAAATACAGTATCACCGGTGGGGCCCAAGCAGGATTGGAACTGCAACGTGCTGAGAAGGGTGTATGTGTTTTAACCCTTCAACCTCTGTGGCAGTTCTGATAAAACACGTGTATCCCTCCCAAAGTCCAGGAGGGAGCTTCCTTATGAGCCTATCTTTCCCTATACCAGGGGTCTGTAACCCGCGGCTCCGGAGCCGCATGTGGCTCTTTTACACCTTTGCCGCGGCTCCGGGGCGGATACTAGCGAGGGGAGGAGGCACATTGTGTGCCCCGACACTCCCCACTGTGGTGGGCGCTGTACTGGCTGTGACGTCGCATGGGGGTGGTGCATGCGTTAGTCACGCACCGTCCCGACGTCACCTTCCCACCCGCTGTCAGATCGGAGGGCAGCGGCGCGCATGCTTTAAATGTCACAATGGTTTTGCGGCTCCCAGTTTTTCCCCCCTTCGGAAACGGGTCCAAGTGGCTCTTTTTGTCTTAAAGGTCGCAGACCCGTGCCCTATACACTGCAGTCCCAATTCTGCAGCAGCTATTTAATTTTTATTAAATGTGCACATTTAATAAAAAAAAATGTATTCTGTTGGTTTTCATAGGTGCACACTAACTGTTCTCACACAATTAACCTCAAACTTCATTTGGTCCCAGGTTTCTATTCAGACTTTCCAGAGGGGCAGCCATATTACAGCAAAAACAAGCTTATTGTAGCATAAGCTGTTGTGGGTCAGAACCAAATTGTGAGATGTAGTAGTCAGACTTCAGCACATGCCTTTCCTCTGCTTTTTATGTTTTATTTTTACCTTGTGCCAAGGAAAAAGAAATGTACTCCTGTTGAAGCTAAGGGATATATATCCCATCTGCTTTCATACAGTCTGAGCATGAGAACTGCAAATATAGAAAGTACATTGCCGAGATTTTGCTGTCCTTTCAATTTCCTTGCTTACCCTCAAACGTCGCAAAGTGGCCTAGCATGGGAGTGCTCAGAGCTGAAATTGAGATTCATGGACATTCTTTGTTATACATGAAACAAAAGCATGATTGGGTTGGCAACTGCTGTGGCACGCTCAGGAGCAATCAGCTGCAACTACTCTCATGAATCCCGAATTCTTACTGTGTTTGGCCACTTTAGAAGCTATAGATATTGCCATAGGGATATCTATTCCCCTTGTGAAGAGAAAGTGCATCTCCAAAGGGAAAACAGTTCCTTTAAAATGATAGATGGATTTCTTTGCTGTCAAATCATCAGCGGAACAGAAAATAATGCAGGGGTCAATTCAGTGTGTGTGTGTGTCTGCACCTAATCAAAATCCACTGTAGTCAATTAAAAAAGAACATGGTGTAATTTTAGGGCTGAAAATGGCATTTAAACATTAAATCTAAATGAGTGATTTTTCACACCATCTTCCTTCAGGGATCTGTTTGCTTTCATTTGTTTCACATTTTTTAGAAAACTGACCTCATTTGTACCTTTTGGCTTAATTAATGGAACATAATTATTTTCACATTCACACTTCTCCATATTTTGCAATACAATTCTCGGTTCAAAAAGTGTACCAAAATGTTAAAAAATTGATATTGTAGGATAAACTAACATTTAGTAATGCACATGAAGATACAAAATGCATAGTTAAATACAAATTTTGGTGTAGATTTTTTTATTACTAGATATCTCACATATGACTTTGGAAACAGGACAGAAAAGATTTATGGATGAATACAGCGATCTCTTTCTGAGAAGTGCATCAGAAAGGAACCCTAGGAATCTGGAGAGTGTTTGGGGGCATATTTTATGGTGCTTACTAAATTATAGTGGGGTATTTGGGTTTCAACATTGCCTTGTAAACTGAAAGTACTCCATAGGACATACAGTACTCACTGTTCCCCTTCATCTCCTTACTATATAGGGGGGACTGTGATCAAGTTGTCTTTCAGGGACGACTGTCCACCATTCCTGATCTTCTCATTCAAGAATCTCCATAAAGCTTCCAATGAAGCACATTGTTCTTTGGAATGCAATTTAAAAACCATGGATCTAGATGATAGTTATGAGATCCTCAATCACAGCTCGTAGCTAATAGACCAATAGCAATCAGGTACAATAGAAGTGGCATAGGCACAGAATAAAGTTAAGGAAGTGTGTTGATTTGCTAAGTAACATTTTGATTAGATAAAAGGGGGATGGGAATGCAGAGGGTTGTATCCAGCGGTGACTTTGCCTTGGTGGAAAGGGGTTCCATTAGCCAAAGTTGGAGAAACTGATTTTTTGCTGACCACCCCACCTTGCCTATTTGCAGCTCTCCACCCTGTATCCTGTTCTGTTCCAGAAGGTCCTTAGGAACTGCTTTTAGCAGGGGGTGAACTGTAGGGTGCAAGTGGGTGGCAAAACGTGTGAGAAGAAGCACTTTTCCGCAAGGGCACCAGCACTATTGGATGCAACCCAGAGACAATAATGGTCTAGAGTGCCTTTTGCATGCTTGCTTGCTTTTTCCTCTGTACCAAAGTGTGCCTGGCATTCTGACGAGCTTGTTTTGTTTAGATATAGCCTTTCCCCCTCCCCTCAAGAGCCATTTATGAAAGAAAACTCCTTTATCTGTTTATAGGTTATCAGTACTCCTCATAAATATCCATCCGTCCACCCCGAGACCCGCCATTGGACCGCTCTGACATTTGCTGTGTTGCATGGACATATTCCTGTAGTTCAGGTATTGCTGTATTTCCCTCTGCTCCATCTCATATTTTCTTTCCCATTTGTTAGGTTTTAATTGGCGTTCATCCCCATAATTGGCAGCCATTCTCATATTGGTTCCTCCTGCTTCTTCTTTGTTTGCTGTTTAGATAGAGATAGATTATATATATATATAATAGCATTATTATATATAGTTATCAGTAGGACTGCAATCCTAAGCATGTTTACTAGGGAGTAATCCCTAGTGGACACAATGGGACGTACTTCCAAGTAAACATCTGTAGGATTGCACTGTAAGCCAATATGAAGCATAAACAGGGCAATTTTAAAATGAAGCTGTACCAGTTATGTCCTGCCGACTCGTTCTTGGCCATGTGTTTTGTGTTTCTCTGTATTTGTGTTTTTCTGTTTCTTTTTCTAATTTTACTGAAAGTAAAAGCTCTGTTCCTTTTTTTCTAATGTTAGTGAACATAATGTTAATCTGGTTTCTTCTCCCCCGTCCCTGCAGTCCTTTGTTATGTTCCAAAGCTAAAAAGACTGATTCAACTCATAGATAAGAATAATGCTAAATAAAGAAAATGTAGAGCAGTCATTGCCAACCTGGTGCCAACTTGGACTGCAACTCCCATCAGCCTCAGCCAGCACCTGCTATTCCTCTCTCAGAACACCCATCCAATGAATTCTGATAAGTCAACAAACAAAAAGAAACATTCCGTTGTGCACTGCATAATTAACAGTGGAATGCATGGCCGTGAGATGCTGGTTATTATCACAAGCTTGGATGGAGGATGGATATATCAGTGGTTATAAAGCCTTGACAGCTGAAACTAGAACCTCCACATTAAGCGATGCTATACCTCTGATGGCCACAAGCATAGTGACTACTTCTATCACGCCCCGCTTATGAGCTTTGCAGGGGCATCTGATGGGTTTATCTCAGCTAACTGTGATCCAGGAAGGCTGTTTTTATGTTGACTGTCTTTAATATGATTTTCCCCATGGCATTATTTTGTGGTGAACGGATGTATCTGCAGCATATCATCTAATGCCCTGTCTGTTTGTGCAACTGATAGGGCTGTCCTCCTATGGGTCCATGACCAATACAGTCAGCCCAATACATTCTTCCAGTGCTATCTGTTGCCACTTTCACAGTTTCCTTGATTCAGTCATTTAAAGCATTTTCATTGTTTCTAGAGAAGTGTGGCATTTTTCAACCACACCACATCACTTTTATCTAAGCAAATTACATACACCAGATTGATCTCTCAGGTGCTTGCCAGTGTGGCTGGGCTGCAAGGTAAAAATTGCACACCTTAATCTAGAGCCCTGCTAAATTGTTATGCTGCTACTTTGGTTGAACAGAGAATGAGGAGATACCCAGAATGAGGCATAGAGGGGACACATCTGACCTGTTCTGTCTCTCTCCCCTCCCCCATAGTAACAATATGCATTTCCAATTCTTTTTCACTAGATATACCAGTCGGGATTTATTTAATTTTCCTTGAAAAAGTGGCTATGTAATACTTCTGAAGAGTTTAATTTGCTGATGCTTATATATTGTACAATTTACAAACATCTTAGTTACTCTGACAGACAGACAAAAATAATTATTTGCATTTAGAAGGTCCCTGGTTTAGTCCCTGGAACCTTCAGTGAAATGGATCTTGGAAGGCTGATCTGGGAGAAATAACTGCCTGATAAACAACATTTTGTTTATTTTTGTTTATTCATTATTGCATTAATACCCCAATTTCCCTCGAAGAATATCAAGGTGCCGTATGTGGCTCTCTCCCTTTCACAACAACACTGGGAGGTAGCTTAGGCTCATCACTAGTGACTGGCCCAAGGTCACACAGCGGGCTTCATGGCTAAGTAGGGATTTGAACTTTGGTCTCCTAAGGTCCTAGTCTGATACTCTAACCAATACACCACACTGGCTTTCTGGAGAATTGCTGCCATTGTGCACAGTACTGGGCTTGATAGACCAATGGTCAAAAGTCAGTAGAAGTTCACATGACTATACTGATCTTAAATAAACTAAGGCTGACCTTTAGGTGAAAGGCTTCCCCAAACCCTTAGCTCTTTTTTTACTGCATCTTTTCCCAACTCCCAGAATCCCATTAAAGTGAGGGTGGAAGGTGTTTCCCTCAATCTGGTGAGCTTCAGAATGATATTATGAGAGGCTTCCCTTATAACATCTATTTCAGTGAAATCGTTGGGAGTTTTAAGTGCACAAATTAGTCATGTCCCACTGATTGCTAGTTCGCATAGCCTTCAGGCATGTACATGACAATTAGGTGCACTGTGCAGGGAATTGTGAATGGTCCACACTTGTTTAAATGGCCAGGTATTTCTGCAATGAACTTAATTATTGGGGAAAAAATAAGGTGTGCGGGTTCTTTCCATCTGAGCTGAACTTTTTACAAGCCTTAATTTGGGTGTGCCCAAAGAATTTGCTCCATCACTGGCATAGGCTGCCATTTTGTATTGCTTTATTTTATCAACATATTTTTTAACAACTTTCAAGATACAAGCCTTTTCAAGGCAAGAAAATGTAATTCACCAAAACATCTGCATAAAACATTCCACTTGGGTGCTACACAAGCCAAAGAATATTGTGTCAGTAATGGTTAAAACTACAACTCATAAAGTGTAGGTTAAATGTCATTAATCAATTAAAAGCAGTCTGAAACATCCAGGTATTTAAGGTTCATTTAAAAACAGGTCCCGTTCACATACTACATTAAATCACAGCTTTGCTGTTCTCCTGCTTCTCCTCTTGCTGAATGGAAGCTATGGTTTAATGCAGACTTTGCCAATCTGGCGCCCTCCATATGTTTTGTACTACCACTCTCGCAGATGAAGCCGCAGATGCTGACGGAGGCTGATAGAGTTGTAGTCCAGAACATCTGGAGAGCACTAGGTTGGTAAGACTGATTTAATGAGATGAGCTACCCAGGAGTGCCCAGGGGACTGCTTCCCTGCAGACTTGGGCAACATGAAACACGTTGCGCTTCTCAAAACCGTTTAAGCTCCAGCTCTGTTAGAGTTTGTAATTCCAATACAAACAACCCCATGCCTAAAGCGTATACCAGTCTTAACCTACATATGCTGTCTGTAGAACATTTCCCCAAACCCACACCTTTTTTAATGCCTGTAACATATAAACCTGGTTTATTACATGAAAATCAAATGAAAAGTTATATAGAAAAGAAGTGGAACTTTCAAGAACCCTCAAGCAGGGCAATTGCAACTCTGGCCTTAGATATCCTGTGAGAGCGTAGCAGGCAGGAGGATATTTGAGAGCAAGTAGGCGTCTGGCTGAAACCAAATAGCAAGCCAGCTGGTGATGTATCACAGGACAACCCCCCAGAGAAAGCTGGCAGGGCCAAATAAACTTTTGGAACAAGGGTGGAGAACCTTTGTCCTCCAAGTGCTGTTAGACCCAAACTTCCATCATGCATGATCATTGACCATGATGGCTGGGACTGATGGGAGTGAGGAGTCCCACAGCTTGTAGATGATCACAGGTTCCCCACCCATGTTTTGGAACATTTTGAGGGAGAACAAAGAGCACGTGGCTGTTGTTAGGAAAGATGGCTGCCAGGGCAGTTTAGTGGCTGTAGATTTCAGAGGCCTAGCTTCACTTTTCTAGCACCAGGGTTTTTCAAATGGTGCTGCAATATACTTTTTATAGGGAGTCAAGAGAAAACAAGGAAAGGAGCTTACTGGCACCCAGAAATGAAGCACTAAACAGTTGGGTTAGGTGAGCTTAAATGCATGGAACATGACATCTCATTCCATCCAATGCCTTCTTCTTTCCTACTTTTCCGCATTCCTCCCTTTATTGAAGACGAATGAAATACTGTCTGAATAACCAGCAACAGAAGTGGGGTGGAGAAAAACATCCCTGGGTGGTCAATTGGCAACCAGTTGTTGTGTAACTTGGCCCTGAATTGGGTGGCCTTTAAGGCAGTTAAACTTCCTTCTGCATCTGTGGAGCCTCCCAAATTCTTACTGTCACATTTAAATCAGCAGCTTTAAATGGTGAATTTCCTTTTGTAGCTGTTGCTGGATGCAGGAGCCAAAGTAGAAGGTTCTTTGGAACATGGTGATGAAAACTATTCAGAAACTCCCTTGCAACTGGCAGCAGCTGCAGGTAAGGATTTTTCTGATCATGAACATTCCTTAGCTTAAAAAAAATGTGGCTAAAGGGAGTGAAAAGCACTCACTTTTATTGATTTACAGGAAATTTTGAACTCGTTAGTTTGCTTTTGGAGCGAGGTGCTGACCCCATGATTGGAACCATGTACAGGAATGGCATTTCCATGACTCCTCAAGGTGATATGAACTCCTTTAGCCAGGCTGCTGCACATGGACACAGGTAGAGTTGGAAATGCTAATTTAAATGTTTTAAATGTTCTCTTTGTGTCATGATGCAAAAATTGCAAACTGTGCTTCTGCGTTGTACATATGTTTTTACATACGTAAGCATGCTACCAGATATGTGAATAGATATTAGCCACAGCAGCTAGATGGAACCTAGCTGTATTTCTGGGGCAGTATTTCTGAGTGCCAAAAACATTGCTAGAAACAGACAATGGAGGAAGGGCCTTCTGTCGTTGCTGAGCTATAGGTGACTGTCGAGAGGGGAGACAAGTCAGCGCTGGGAGATCAGCACAAAGAGAACAAGCCAGGAGTCCCAAAAAGGGGAGGAGAGAGAATATAATTGCCTGGACAAAGTTCCAGCCTGAACAGGAAGCCTTTGTAGCTATTCTAGACAAGGAGGACTAATGGTCATCCAAGGTGGGCAGAGTCACATATATTATCTAGGGAGATGCTCCAAGCTATAGCTCTGATGGCTTAGCACATGGTGTAGCTGTCTGGAGCAACTCTTGACACCCTCCCACCCTGCTTGCAATCTCCCAGAAGCATCTGGCTGCCCACTGTTCAAAAAGAGCAATGTAACTTTGGTCTAATCTTGGAGAATCCTTATGTTCTTAGTAAAATGTCTGTGAAAGGCAGTCTGCCTGTTTTCTTTTGAAGTTCATCATCATCAAACCTTTTATTGGCATCACGTACAAACATCCAAAACAATCAATACAGAATTACCACTTCCCCAGTGGCACAAAACATTTGCTAAAAGAAAGGAGGCAGAGCAGTCTATCGTCACATCTCTAGGTCTCCAGGGAGATCAGACGTCTGCAGTATATTTCGACAACAAAAAACCAAATAGAGATATTTAGCCACTAACTTGGTGAGCTCCTGATCATTCCCCAGTAATAGAAAATGTATGACCTCCAACTCTAGTTTCCATTTGGGGATACAGAGTTGATCTAGAAATTACTGATAGAGATCAGCATATAGTTTACAATTAAGAACCATATGTGTAAGGGTTTCCAACAGGTGGTCTTCACATGGGCAAATTCTTTCTCCTTCCACCCTGCCTGAGAACTTTCCCCAAAGGAGGTTGGGGAAATAGAAGTTAAGGCACTGGCTGCAGTCCCGTGATCCACAGCTGCATCTTAACTAGATTTCCTCCTTAGTTTTTCTAGGCAGCAGATCTCAGTGTGGCTTTCAGGATTACATGCTTATGAAAAATGGAATTCGGAAGGGGCTTCACTGGGAGGTGGTTATGTAGTCCAGTCCATTGCAGAATTGAAAGATCTCAACTATGGTCCCTGTGCACAGATGAGGAGCTTGGTAAATAGTTGGAAGCTTTGGGAGAGGTCTGTGAGAATCAAAGCTGAGTGCAGGAAGCAATCCAAGAGCTGGTCAGTCTGAAGGACTAGTGAGGACCGCAGGCACAGAACTATCGATCTGCCAAGTCTGGAGAAAGCAGCAAGGCAAGGGGGGTAAAGAACCACAGGAGGTCAGACCTAAAGGGGATGATTTAAAGGCTGGGAGAGAGGGGTCTAAGGACAGAAGAAAGGTCACAAGAAATGAAAGTGATTTTAAGGTGGGAAAGAGAGGAGGAATAAGCATGCCAGATGCACATATCTACCGATGTGTGAGATAGAAAGATTGAGGCCTGGTTCATACATGCATGTGAATCACTGAAAGGCTGATAACTCTGAATGTTTAAATAGTTCCACTGAAAATAATTACCTCTCAGGTGTCATGAGGTGACAAACAAGCTCTCTATGGTGTTAGATCAGCGATGACCCACTTTCACAGCTATGTCCTACCTTGGTGTTGCAGTGACCAAACATGCACATGTGCTCTCTCTCTTAGAGGGAAGGATCTGTATGTCTGTGCAAGAAGGCAAGGATTGCAAGGAGTTAAGGTGGAAAAGGCAGATTCTCCCAATCCACAGTACAAAACCCTGAAGAGTTATCTTTGCCACCAGTCTTGCTTTACTGTTCTCTGAGCCCCTCCAGCAAAGTTCTGCTCCCACTCCCTCATTTCCTTCCTGAGTTTTATTAATTCAGGGGCTGAACTGATACCCTTCTATAGAGGGAGCTTAGCTGTCAAAGCCTGCACTTACTTATCTATTTAGAAATTTTTTATATATACACCACTGTATCAAATATATATATCACCACGGTTTACAATAATATAAAGATATAAAACCAGACAGTAAAATCATAAAAAGTTAAAAGAAGTCAAAAGCATAAATAAAACCAGCAGATCACTACTCATGTATTCATAATTGCCTTCTGCTTTGTGCTTTGCTTTCAACACACAAACTCTCAATTTACCCGGGAGATCACGGGATTGCTACTCTATGTACAGGGATGGAGAAACCGTGATCCTCCAGATATTGTTGGAGGGCCAACTCCCATCAGCCCAAGCCAACATGGCCAGTGGTCATGATAGGAGCTGGAATCTAACAGCATCAGAAAGGCCACAGACTCCCTACCTGTGACTTAATGCATTGTCTACAAATGGCAACAGTTGTAACTCAGCACAGAGTACACTTGAGATTCTCAGGAATCTGAATTATCTGCCAGATACCCAGTTCTGCCCTAAATTCTATAAAGATGCGCAGGAAAATCTCAACATCTCTAGCTGTAATGTGGAGTAAGAATTTGCTGCAGCCTCATATTGGCTAAGGATGAATACAGATGTAACATCTGGATAGCAGTGGGCTTGTTTGTTAAGCTAGCAGTGCAAGCATACCTTTCCCCTGTTGAGGGTTGAGCTCTGAATAAACAGATTCTGCATGCTTGTAATCAAATCTGATAAGCTAGTGTGTGCAATGTCACCGAAGAGCCTCTCCCAAACCCAGAACAGTTTGCAACTGTTTATTTTAGTTTTTTCGTTTTTTTAAAAGGTGGATGAATGTATAAACAAATAAGTGTACAATTGGTTCTTTAACTGAGAAGAGATGTAGCTTCCTTGAAGCTTTCGGTGGTGGCCCCAGGATTCAGTTTGATGGAATTTCTATCTATTGGGCAAATCGTACACCCAGCCAGGCAGCCAGGTCCATCAGTGAGCATCTCTTTAAATGCCACATCTGTCTTCACCCTGAGAGCTGTGGATTGTGCTATCGACTGGAAATATTGAATATGTATCCCCCTTTATTTCATTGCATGGGATAACACACACCCGTCCTCTTGACTAACAGGGGAAATATCTTTCCTCCCTCTATAAATACATACACACACTCGTTAGCCCATCTGCTCTGGAAACATTGCTTATTCTATCCCCCACAGGACTGAACATGCGCAGCTAGCAAGATCTAAGCATATAAGGTAGGTGGGAGGTAAGGGAGAAGATGCACCCTGGTTTTGATTGATTGTTTCTAACAGTTCATCAATTGGGAGTGTCTCCATTGAAGACGAATGGCATCACACAGGTGTAAGCCTGTTGATGAGCAGAGGATGAGAGTCTCTGTCCTGGATGCTGGACTTGCAGCTGCAAGCCCAAATAAGTTATACTGCGCAAAGAAAGGCATTGCTTGAAAGCTGATTTGCTAAAGGATCTAGTTAGGTGAACTAACTAGATTTAGCATTCGCTAGATAGCTAGTTGGCTCTGGCTTAAACTGTTAAGAGTTCCAACCCAATGGCCTTTCTCCTCCCCCACCCCCACTCTCTTTTTGCCCTGTGATTGACAGGAACGTGTTTCGTAAGCTGCTTGCTCAGCCGGAGAAGGAGAAGAGTGATATCCTGTCCCTGGAGGAGATACTGGCTGAGGGAACTGACTTGGCAGACAGTGCTCCAGCTCCTTTGTGTGCCAGCCGCAACAGCAAAGCCAGACTTAAAGCTCTGAAAGAGGCTATGTATCACAGTGCTGAACACGGATATGTGGATGTAACCATTGACATCAGGAGCATAGGTCAGTTTTGGTTTCCTATGTGCTTTTCTCTCCCATGAGCAATGACTGTCAGAAATCTGGTTTGATGGCCTCTGTCAGCTGAGCTGACCATTTTTTATTTGTCCCAGAGTTCTTGTCAAGGCAGAAATTGGGTAACTTTCAGATGTGCCTGGGAATTCCGGAGAGAATTTTAATATTAAAAAGGGTTAAAATACATGGCTAGAGGTTTTTATTCTTCCTATCTTTGGCATTTTTGTAGATTAGATAGTAAATTGGGATTGTCTCTATCTGGACTAGATTACCTTTTAAATATGCTAAATGATATAAGTCTGACCATATTAAAGCACTTGTTTAAGTCATGACATCAGAAGCATCTCTTTGGATGTGCCCCACCTGTGCTTCTTCCCCTACCCCCACCTCCTGCCATCTCTCTTACTAAGGAGCTGCAATTTCTGTGAATTTTCCTATTTCTGTGATCATGTCCCAGTAGACTTTTGTGCTGTACTTTGGGTATTTGTAGTCCGTACACACACAAAGCAGCACAGGCATTACTTTTAAGCAGGGCAGTCACTCTGTTGAAGGAATCATATCCACTTAATTGTTTGAGAGCTAATTGATTAAATCTGGATACACTTGCATGTGAATAAACCATCATTAGCAAGGAAAAAATGCCTTCTTTGATTTTACACCTAGGCACCTTTTTAATTGATTAAATGATGATTGATTTGATTAGAATGACATGCGACCCTCCTCTTAAGTGAGCACACTTTCATAACAAGAGACTGGTTGGGGGGGGTACTTACTCATGAATAGATCCTTGGGTGAGAAGGGCTCTGTTTGACATTGCAGGCCAGAATCCTTTGCATGCCAGAAACTCAAAAGCAACTATCTTCTGGTCCCAGTCAATTTTTCACTTTAAAGACTAGGAAGGTCTTTTCTACCTTAGGAGTGAAATTGACTAGATTAAGAACTACTTGTTCTGGCATTGAAAAGGGAAGCTGAAGGCCTGTGCCAAAAAAGGAAGAGAGTTAAAAGCAGCAGTATCAAAGACCCAAGCAAAACAAAAACATGTGTAAATAAGGAAGGCTACTTTATTCCCATTCCAAGAGCAACGCTTTTTCAAGAGAGGAGTTAACACATCTGCAATTAATAAACACATAAATAAAAAATATGTGAAAATGGTATGTATTCTACAACATCAATAGCTGCTTATTTATCAAAAATAATAATTATGTTGTGGATTTGAGGCATGAAAATATTTAAAAGAGAGGCCAGTGTGAAACCTCTAATACTAATATCAAATAAATCTTTAATTCCTTTAATTTAAGTATGTTAGTTGACTTAAATCTTTAATTTAGGTATGTTAGCTTATAAGGCAGAGGTACAGAACCTGTGGCCCTCCAGATGTTGGACAGCAACCCTCTATGCAACAACATCTGGAGGACCACAGCATTCCCATCCCTGTTATAAAGTAAATAGCAAAACCATGCAGGGGAGAGGACAGGTTCAAGGCAACCTCTATGTAAGGGAAGAAACACTTAGTAGGTTCCTTTCTATGTTAAATGCTTACATCCAGAATAAGGATAGGGATAAATTTAGTTCAGTTCAAATGTTAAGGCGAACCTACTGAATTCCCCCTTTCCAAAACAATATTCAAACCAAAGCACAGTCATCCATCAAAACTTGCCCTTCTCCAAATGTTGTGATGCAGTTCTCCAACCCAATAATGTGTACCAAAAAAATCACCCATCCCTACTAGACTGCTATGGCAGCATATCTGTCAAGCTGTTATTTCTTGGTTAAAACTAAAAACACTTTTTCATCTATATTTTTAAAGTAAAATATTAGCAAAATTCTACTAAAATGAAAGTGTCATAATGCTATGCTGCTAATTTTTAACAAATAAAGTGGGCGGGGGAATCCACTCGATCACTCCCACTTTAGCAATGTGTTCCTCCCCCCAATGATCCCTTCAAATGTATACATCAGATCTAAAACAAACATGAAATACCATGGGGTTGTTGGTTTCTTTGGGCATTTCATGGGTTGTAAAGGGCAACCCCATTTAAACGAATAAGTACTTACCACCAAAAAAACTAATTGATTTATTGTGTTTAATGGTCACTTGTAATTGTTTTCCAAGTGGCTACCAAAGGAAATTGGATTTTGCATACCCATGGGCGTCTATGCCATACCCATTGATGTAGCTGATGCTTAGCAAGATGAAATTATAGGGGGTGGGGGAGTGCTGTATAGCAAGCCAGTTGCAGTTCTGCTTGCAGCTTACTTACAGCAGAAAAGCAATGATTTATTAGTACTAGGAGTCACCAATCTGAAAGCAGCTGAGACATAAAAGATATACAGGGATTTATAGCTCATTGGGGGATGTTGACGAGTGTCAGTTCCGGGTGGGGTTTTTTGTATGTGCGTGCAAGATGCTGTCAGTGTGCCCACCTCCCGCTGAGTTTGTACACTTCCTCCTCACCATCACTGTTGTCGCTGCCTGTTCACTTGCCTCTTCCGCTCAACATCCTCTCCCCAAGGGAGAGGTGGGTCTTTCTGCATGTTCTTTTTTCTCATTTTTCTGCCTGCCTGCTTGCTTGAAAGGCCAATTGAAAACAGTAGCAACAGTAAAAAAAGAGGAGCAACAGGCCCAGGAGGTTCTAAGGCTTGACAGTGGGCCCCAAATGAGGTGTGGGCTTTGTCAGGTGCCCATTGAGGCCAACTGCTAATGGTGATCCCAGCAGAGGAAACAGAATAGGTGGAATGGAATTCAAAATGTGGTCCAGCATAAGATCTCCGTGTCGTTAATCTAAACCTGGGTATTTAAGATATGTGCACATATTTTAGATAATTTTAAATTTTTATACAGGTGTCCCATGGACTCTGCATACATGGTTAGAGTCCTTGCGAACTGCCTTTCAGCAACACAGAAGACCACTCATCCAATGCTTGCTGAAAGAATTTAAATCTATTCAAGAGGAAGAATACACTGAAGAACTTGTCACGCAAGGGTTGCCTTTGATGTTTGAGATCTTGAAGGCAAGCAAGGTGGGTGAAACTGGCATTATTACACCACAATTGGGATATATTACTGTTATTATTTATTACTGCACTGCTCTTCTGTTCGTAAAACACTCAAAAGTGACTTAGCAAACAAAATGCTCAGATAAAAATATTAAACTATTACAAGAACATTGCATCACTAAAACCATCACAATTTGAGTGCAGAACAGTCTTTATATTAGCAAATGATCAAATGTTCAAAGCTTGTTGAAATAAAAAGGTTTTCAGCTGAAGTCACCCTGCTAAGATAGTATGCAGATCCATGTAGGACTGGGAGCAACTGTTAGCCAGTATCAGCAGTACTGGGCTAGATGGACCCATATTCTGGCTCCACGGAAGGCAGCTTTCTGTGTCCGTAATTCAGTGAAGGGCACAAGAAGAGGAAGGAGTAGGGAGGGAAGAACATGCAGACACAGCTGTCTTTCTCATAATGCTAAGCCATAGATTGGGGTCATAACAAGAACTGAGCCACTAAGGACAGATCCACACCATACATTTCAAGCACATGCAGTGCACATCTAAAGCTCATGAGTTACCCTAAAGGATGCTGGGAACTATAGGGTTTTAAGGGGGTTAATGATTGTAGCTCTGCAAGAGGGAACTTTCAGTTCCCAGTATTCTTTGGGGGGACTCATGTGCTTTAAATGTGTATTGTGTATGCTTTAACTGTATGATGTGGAACTGCCCTTAGACACTTAGTCAATTTTGCAAATGCATAAAAGCAACTGTGTCGCTTTAAAAAGAGAGAGCCAATGCTCTCCATCCACTGCAAGGATAGCTTAATATTCACACTCACAGTGAGCTCAAGAGCCGACAGAAGCCAAGTCCTTGCGGTAAAAGTGAGAGGCATGCAGGTCAGGCAATAAAATACAGGCAAGGGAGGCTGATATCCAAAGGAGCTGAGATGTTAGTTTAATCTAGCTGACTACTTAGAATGGTCCAAGAAGGGAATTGTGTGTGTGTGTGTCAGTTTTCAGATCAAATGAATTACTTTTCCCATATTTGTTTTCCTCCCTTTAAGATTTTTGAGATGAGTTGATATGACCTATTTGGCTTTTAAAAAACACTCCTTACATGTTTACTAGGAATTTTTTTCCAGGCCCATTTTGAATTTCATGCCAAAGAGTTTGATACAGGCGTATGTTCACACATTTTGAATATTTCCTTTAAACAAATACTAAACAGGTTTTGTGTTTTTTTTTGAAATGCAGTAATTTGACAAGGGTATGTATTAGTATTGTCAGAGATGTGAAACACACACACATACACACACGTAGGGAAATTGGAGATAAACTTTGTTTCACTATATATAAACTAAAATTAAAAAAAGGTAAAGGACCCCTGACAGTTAAGGCCTGTCACAGATGACTCTGGGGTTGCAGCACTCATCTTGCTCTGTAGGCTGAGGGAGCCAGTGTTTGTCCGCAGACAGTTTTTCTGGGTCATGTGGCCAGCATGACTAAGCCATTTCTTGCGCAACAGAACATCGAAACCAGAGCAGCGCATGGAAACGCCATTTACCTTCCCGCCAGAGCGGTACCCATTTATCTACTTGCACTTTTTGGCGTGCTTTCGAACTGCTAGGTTGGCAGGAGCTGGGACTGAGCAACGGGAGCTCACCCCATCACGGGGATTCAAACCGCCGACCTTCTGATCGGCAAGCCCAAGAGGCTCAGTGGTTTAGACCACAGCGCCACCCGTGTTCCTTATATATATAAACTAGGTAACACAATACAGTGGAACCTCGGCTTTCAAGCATCTTGGAAGCTGAACAGCTGAATGCCTAAAAACCAGAAGTGAATGTTTCTGTTTTCGAACGTGCCTCGGAAGTTGAATGGCTTCTGAGGTGCGTTTCTCCAATCTCTCAATGGAATTTTCCGACCGCCCATTGTGTCTTGGTTGTCGAATGTTTTGGAAGTCGAACAGTCTTCCAGAACGGATTACATTCGACAGCAGAGGCACTGCTGTAGAATAGAAGCTAAGGAAAGGCTTCATTAAATTCTGTGCATGTGGAAGGAAATAAATTGTGCCAGGAGGAGGGGGAAGAGTAGCATTTTTTCTGAGCTTTTGCATCTCTATGTACCAAATCAAAGAAAAAAGACATGTTTATAAAATTTTAGTGAACAGGGAAGAATGGAATGAATCCCTTCCCTCTGCTTAAGGTGTGAATTCTCCCCTGAGGTAGTTTTATTCTAAATGCTGGTGACTGTTGTGGCATGTAGCATTACCTGTCATCACTTTCAGTACCTCTGTGTTAAAACAGTTCAGAATAACCTGGACCCGAAGTCTCCATAAATGTGCGTCTTGCATTCTCCATATGAGAAGTGAACATCAGGTACACCAATGTGGCATGCTAATATAACATGCAATTAACTACTGTCACAGAAAATATAGTGCAGCAGCATGGATTTATCTGGAAACTAACCTTGGATTACCCTGCACTTAAATCCTTAGTCATAATATCTCCCAAAGGGATATTTCAACAGTGGTTTCACGAAGACCCCTGCTGTTTTTCATAACAAGGAAATGCTTGCTGAGACTTCCTGTGTTGGAATAAGAATGTACTGATTCTAGGACTTGTATGCCCTCTTCTGGTCTGATACTCATAGACCTCAGACTATGTTCTTAAATCTGAGCTTTTGCTACACAGGTTTTAAAAATCCCTTCAAAAGAGAGTCATGTCATTGCTCCCAGCAACAATTTATGCACCTCTGATTAATCGTGCTCTGTTGTGAAAGACCCTTAGCTCAACTCTAACATTTTAAAAAATCTATTTTGTCAAACTATTTATTGCGTCTAGCTGTTACTACCAACCTCTTGGAGTTCCCTAGCTCACAAATGTTGACTAACGTTAATGATGTGTGTGCTTCTTAATAATGTACAAGTAATCTTACAAAGCGACACTTAATTAGTTTTCATGGAGCTAATACATGATTTGTACCCAAAGAAAACTCAGCACAAAAAGAACTAGAGAGAATCAGGGCAGGCTGCCTTTTTAGAACTAAAGAATGTCCAGGGTAGAGAAGGATGATGTCATGCCATCTGTAGAAACCTAGGATGCTTCCAGACTGCCACTGTTTTCAGGTGGGATTCAATTATATACCAGCAAATCCAGGTTAAACAGTTATAGATGATTGGGAGATCCTCGATAATACACACACGCCCCCCAAATATTGGATTTGGGGTGATAAGAAATGTGGCAAGAAAATGCAGTGGAAAGTGTGTGATGGTGCTTGATGCAACATCATATGCAACATCATATAATCTTCCTGCTGCAAGCAAATCGGAATGGATGTTCATTAAATAGCCAGTGGCATCTAATCTCCCTGCAAACAGGTCAGAATGAATGCTCAAGAAAGAGGTTATCTGGAAGCACTGTCAGCAACAGGATATTGCTCAAGTGTTGAATGAGTTACTACTGGATAAGGAAGAGATGGTCATCTGAAGAGTCTTACACAAGGGCAGGGGAATGACAATAATAATCCCACATTTGTTGCTATTGTCTAATCTTACAAGAATAAGCTGGAAAAGCTAAATAGATACTTTGTGTGATAGCTGCCTTTTGGTTCAAAGATCAAACTATGGAGTGTCTTATGTTTAGGACAATACATTTCCTAGCCTTGTGCCATGTTTGTTAGCATTACCAATTGCTCAACAACTCCTCACTTCAGACTTCAGTCTAGACACTTACTTTAGCCATTCATTTTTAAGTAAGCAGGGACCATCAGCCAGTGGTGGACCATGTGCTTGCGTGCAAATGACCCTAGTTTCAAATACTCTCATACAGTAGGGCTGCCAAAGACCTCTGTAGCCGAGAGGAACTTGCCTTGGAGTCCTGCTGCCTGTTGAAGCAGACAGTATGATTTGGCTTAAAGCAAGCCGCACAATAAGAATTCATGTGCAGTTCATATATTTTCTCACACTGAACATTGGATAAACTTGGGACAGGAAGATGGGAATCTGCCTTAAACTGAATTATTTGGTCCATATAGTACGGTATAGTTTGCACTGGCTGGCACAGGTCTCTGTGATTTCAGACTGGGGCCCGTTGTGGCAGTGGGAACGCCTGGTGGGGCCCGGCCCCTTGCTTGAAAATTGGGGGAGCCTTGTCCCATCCACCCCTGCCACCCCAGATGGCCTCCCTGATGCACAGTCTCCTTCTTTCCTTTCTGTAATGTATTTAAAACATTTGACTGCCTCTTCCTCTTGGCAGAAAAGGCAGAAAAGAACCAATGTGGGAATGAGAAGGCAGCACCTCCAAGGCAGGCACCAATTCTAACTTATCCTCTGTTACGAAGTGTTGGATTTTTATTTTTTACTGTGCCATTAAAGGATTGCAATTAAAATACATTAGGTGAAATAAATTAGAATTTAGTGCTCCTCAGAGACTCTCCCTCCACTCCAATTAGGTAACCTTTTGCTTTGGCTGGCACCCAAGCCTTGGATAACTTAACCTGGAGCAGGTCTACCAACAAGCTCAGCAGAGAGGAGCAAAGCGAACACAAGCTTCCTGACTTACCTTATCTTGTGGCAGTCTGTTTCTTTAAGCCAGGGATAGCCAACATGATGGTGTTGCTGGACTCCAACTCCCATCATGCATCACCATTTGTCATGTTAGCTGGGGCAGATGGGAGTTGGAGTTCAATAACATCTGGAGGACACTCCAGATTTATTTATTTTTACTACACCTTCCCTTATCCTCAGCCAGCATGGCCATGTGACTGGGGATTAGGGGAGTTGTTGTCCAAAACATTTGGAGGGGACACCAAATTGGGAATGAATGCTTAAAGCAATGGAGTGCAGCAAGTTAAGGTAGGCAAGAAGGTATCATTTTCCATCCTTCTTTAAATATGAATGGGGCAGAGGATGGCGCTGCCCCATCACATATAGTTTGGCTCCTTAAAGGTAAAGGTAAAGGCACCCCTGACCATTAGGTCCAGTTGTGGCCGACTCTGGGGTTGCGGCGCTCATCTCGCTTTATTGGC